CAGACGGTGAGCTTTGCTGCGTCTGACTGATAAAGTTAGTTTTTATATCTGCAGTGAGACAAAAAACTAACCTCACTCCACTCAGAGATCGTTCTTTAAAACTATTAAATCCACTGTGTTGACGCACTTTAATGACTTTGTCACGCTGCATTTTAGCTGATATGGGACTTTATTTACTGGATGCTAAGATTACATCACACTCACGTAGAATAACACACAGGCTCTCTGCTGTTACAATCAGTGGGAGGTTATCATCTGGTGTAAAAGAAGGCGTTGATCAGAAATCACGTTTTATTCCACGAAAATCTGCCAAATCCACATTAATCTGGGTGCTAACTTTACTAGCATACTGTGCTAGCGATAGCAAGCCGGATGCTAAGGCTTTAGTGCTGCTAATGCCCGTAAATCTAAAGTAAAGTTTGTCGACATTTTAGAGTGATATGAAGCTTACCGCTCTGCTGCTGTGTCCCGGTGCTGCCACATTCAGATGGAAATGACTCCTTTTAGATAGATGAAGCCCTCAGTACTTAGCCACTAGCCTGGAGACAGGACGAACGAACCACGCGCGCACGCACGCACACACACACACACACACACACACACAAACACACACACACACACACACACACACACACACTCACACACACACACTACTGTTTCTTCTGTGTTTTTTTTAGCAGTAGTGTCATCAGCTCCTGGGTTTAAATACTGCCACATCACCCTTCCTTAAAACGAGGAACAGTTTTGAGCTGTGTGTGGCTAAAATAACCAGACATTCTGCATTTTTCCAATAGGACTACAAAAAATCTTAGCGAGAAGAAAAAATGGCGGATTGGCTCTGTGTTTAGCCGAGGGCCATTACCATATTTGGTAGTTATCCTGACGAAATAAATTACTGATGTAATAGATAATTTGAAAAACTGAACGGGTGGACAAATATGCCCAAAACTTAATTATTAAATATCTAAATAGCAACTCCAGTGAATAATATAAGCCTTTTTGCTCACTTAGACACTTAAAATGTGAAACACACTGTGTTAACGGATAAAAAAGTGGGTTTTTCATGTTATGTCTCCTTTAATTTCTTGTCCTCCATGATCACCTCCTTTGGTCATGTGATGAACCGTTACAGAACGCCAGTAGCTCTGCTCCTATAGGATAAGTAGTCTGCTACATTTTAACCACTAGATCTGTAGAGCAAAGTTTAAATTGGAAAAGCAGTTTATCCCCAATTTTCAGTAGAAGAAGTAGGTAAAATATTGATGCTATTTATCTGCAAAGATATAAATTGATGAAGCACCACTTTTCATGAAGTCTCACCTGACCTTGGTCAGTCCCTAAACTTTCTGACTTGTATAATAAATGATGTTTGCTTTCTGGTGTCACAGCACCTTTGGTCCTTTGGGACTTTAACCTCTGGAGACCCAGCCTCCTCTTGTTGGCTTCTTGCAATATAATATTTTGTTCTGTTCCCATAATTTTAGAGACACTTGATTCTTTTAAAGTTTGGTTATTCATTTTGGGAAAGTGGTCAACATTGTTCTGTTTAACTTTGAACTACAGCATCTCACTAGGTCCTACTAATCTGAAAGAGCTAGGATGCCAACTCACACCAATGAAATATTCACATCTCAGGAGTTTAGTTCCTCTCAGTAGCTGCAGTTTAACCTAAGAGGGACTAAAATCCATCTGATGAGCAGAAACGTCTGGTGAGAGTTGACTGATTATACAGATGAAACAAGAATATGGTGCAAAAGCTGGTTTATGTCAGTAATCCAACTGAGCTGGAGAGACCATCTAAAGGCTCAGGACCGTTTGCAGGTGTTTTGGATTCATTATCTAACTAGAGTGTGACACTTTGAGTCTTTTCACAATATTCTAATAGGCTATATTACACAGACCACTGGTTTGATACTTCCTGACTTTTTAGCCAGCTGAATCATTTCAGGTCACAGTGACGTTGGTGTTCTCCGTGGCATTTGTACGCTACAGCTGCAGGACCTGCCAAAGTTAACAATTAACAACGTACACGGCATCAACTAGGTCATATCTATCAACCGCATAAAGACAAAGGTTTTAAATCATGTGCACCTACATTCTTATCTATGAAGGCAAGTGAACAAGCCTTGAGTTGCTAAATACTACATGCTAGCTCTTTACTAGTACAGTGAAGAAGCAACGGTAACAGTGTTAGCAGAAATAAAAGACTCATGACGTTGACCTATTTCTCCAACGTGATTAGCGTTGCATCAATTTTGTGCTAACTTTGTCTTGTAAAGAGCTGGCATCTATCATAAGTTAGCAACCCAAAACAGAAGCTTGTTACCTCGCCTTCATAATGATTGTAGGTGGATACACAATTTAAAACCTTTGTCTTTATTTGCATGTGGCGCCTTAAATGTGGCCTGGATTATCCTGCTGACCGTTATTCTTGACCCTGTTGTCTGAGATTGAGGCCCTGTCCACACGTAGCCGGGGATCTGCCAAAACGTAGATATTTTTCTACGTTTTGGCCTCTCATCCACACGAAAACAGAGTATTTTCACAAGAAAATGGATCTTTTTAAAAACTCCGGTCAAAGTGAAGATCTGCGTTTTCTCCGTTTTGGGTGTCTGCGTGTGGACAGACAAAACCGGAGTTTTAAGGTCCGCAACGTCACTTTCCGTGACAGAAAAATGCTGACATCACGTGTGCGACCTGTGTTTACACTAGCCGACAGCATGGATGCCCTCAGAGCTGCGCTCGCTTTATCAATTGTCCAAGCGCTTTTTGCTCGTTTGTTTTTGCAAGTGGGATTACTGCTCCTTGTGGAAGACCACAGACGAAGGACGAGGTTAAGAACGGGGGAAGTACTGCCGCCTACAGGTCTGGCATGTCCTTAACAACGTATTTATCCGGGTACGTGTGGACAGAGTTTTTTGTTAAAACGAGGTGGTGTGGATGCAAGTTTTTGGAGGGGCGGATATTCGTTTTTAAAAAACCCCGGCTACGTGTGGACCAGGCCTTAGAATTTGGGATTTTCCTCAGCTGTAAGCTATAATTATCACAATTATAACAAACTAATGATTGAAATATCTGGCTTTGTGTAGAACGAGTTTATCTCATAGAATATAATAGCATAGACTTATTAAAGGGGCATTATGGAAGTGTGACAGCCAAAACATGTATAGAAATAATAAATGTCTTCTTCATACTTTCTTCTGCAATGCCCTGGTCCCGTAGAATGAGCCCTGGCATTTTTACTGTGATTGCCTGTTTTTCTGTAAAATCACAGAAAAAGAGATCTGCTCGGGTCGAGCAGGCTGCTTCATGCGTGTTCACGCTCAGGCATCGCCCGTAGCATTTGCTATCCATAGCAGCAGAGAGAGAGGCAGTGCCAACTCAGCGACTTTGTCGCTGTTCCTAACGCCTAGTGATGAACCTAGCTACATTTCTGAGGACCCTTAGCTACTTTCTGTAGAACTTTCTTCTAGATATTTCCTGCAAATTAGCAACAAAATAGCCATTTTCACTCCGAACCGTCCTTTGAACGTTGTTTCAGCTGTCATGAAGGATATAAATGTTACAGATACTTAAGACGTCACTGATGCTTTAGCTCACCTAGTAAGACGGCGGTCTCCCGTGCGGAAGACTTGCGTTCGATTCTGGATGTGAATATTATATAGAGTTTATTTTTTACATTAATGGTATATTTTTTTACAGTAAGATGCCCAAATTTTTATTTGAGACTCGCCGAACGGCATTGAATTCACAGATAAAAAAGATGTGGGTTCAACTTTCATTTTGGAACAATTTTTCAAGCAAGGGAAGGGAATGATCTGAGCATGCAGGACTGACCCATCATAAACCTTTGTCGGCTGTGCTGAAGAGAAAGGTACAGAACCACATTATTTAATTAATTAGCTGTGCGTTCTCTTATCCTCTGTCCTCCGGGCCACACACACACACACACACACACACACACACACAGGACTGTCTCAGCTGTTATTTTCGTTAAGGAGTGTGCACGTACAGCATGCGCGCCTCGTGCACGGGCCTACTATTGAAGCTGCCGTTACGCTTTTGGCCTGAGGGGGCAATCACGAGCATAAAAATTCAAAACTCCATAAAGTCCCTTTAATCCCACAGTGGGGAAAGTCACTTGCTACAGCAGCACATACACTTAGAGAAAAGGAAGAAGAAAAAGGTAAGCACACAAAGGTAGTAAACTATTATTGTAGCCTTCAACTACTAAAAACAAGTCAAAAGGAAACTTGTGGTTCCAGAACTATGCAGCTTAAGGGACACAGACTTACTATGTAAATACGGTATTAGCACAAGTATTGAACATAAACTGAGTATTACATTGATGTTTTTGTGTACCAGGATAATGTCAGCATCAGTTAAACTGAGCAGTTATACACTCTTACTGCAAAGGGGATGAATGGCCTACGGTAGCGTTCTGTTTTACATCTGGGATGTCTCAGTCTGCCTCTGAAGGAGCTGTCCATGGTCTCCACAATGGAATGCAGTGGGTGCAGTTTCACCTTTCAACCCAAGTTTCAGTTTCACCTGTATGATGGCGTTCATAAACCTGCTGTAACAGGATTTTTTGCTCAGTTGTGTTTTTGTTGACGTCCTCTTCTGTAGTGGCTGGATTTGGGTTTGACCAGGAGGTAAAACACAGTTGTTTGAACACATCTTCACATCACATCACATCACTCACACACACACACACACACACACACACACACACACACACACACACACACACACACACACACACACACACACACACACACACACACACACACACACCTCTTAAACTCCACTCGTGTCGTCTTGCAGGAAGCTGTCCTCCATGAACGTTAGTCCCTGGCTTTGACACGTGGACAATGACACAAGCTCTGCTCTGTGACTGTAGATGAAACCGCTGTGATGTGTGTTTGGTTGGACATTAGAGACTTTACAGTCATTATTTATCTGTGGCTGACCTTCATGTTTCTCCATCCTTTTCAAAGCAACTGCTGAGGGAGATGCAGCAGATGGCCAGCCGTCCTTTTGCCACCATCAATATGGCCTTGGAGGCAGACGAGGAGCCACCAGACCTGATTGGAGGAAATGTAAAGGTGAGTCCAGCCTAACTCCACCCCAGCTGGAGCTTTCAGCCTGGCTCCATCACAAACAGGAATCTGGGTTCTGTGGCATCACTTTGGGTCAAGGTTTCTCAATCTTGGTCCTGGAGGGCCTATATCCAGCATGTTTTAGTTGTTTCTCCAAAACACATGATTCAGTTGTTGAATCACCTGTGCAGCAGCTCATAAAGCTCTGCAGTTAATTAATTAACCTGCTGATTAATATCAGGTGTGTTAAAAGTAAGGAAACAACTAGAACATGCTGGATAGTGGTCCTTTAAGTCCAGTTTTGAGCACCACTTCTTTAGGTAGTTTGTCTTTGGTTTAGAACCTTATAAGAGGCCGACTGATTTATCGGGCCGATATATTGAATTTTTTCTATTTCGGCCATCAGTGAAATTATTTTAAAAAGCCTATTAGAAAAAATAAATAAATCAGGCACCTGTGTGGCCGACTGGCACCACCACTAGACTGAAGAAAGGACCCGAAGGACCCCAACACACAGGTTTTTTTATGTTTAGAGTTTGTTTTATATTTAAAGTTCAAGAAATATTAAGATATTTATTTACCTATTCAATTTATATTGGACATAGTAAGTATTCGGTTGTCGTTCACAACCAATGTGCTGCTAAAATGTGTGTATGTTTATATATATATATATATATATATATATAAATATATATATATATATATATATATATATATATATATATATATATATATATATATATATATATATATATATAAATATATATATATATATACATACATATATATATATATACATACATATATATATATATATATATACATACATATATATACATACATATACATATATATATATATATATATATATATATATATATATATATATATATATATATATATATATATATATATATATAATGATCGGCTTTAGATATCGGCCATTGGCAAAAAAATTATTTAAAAATCGGTATCGGCCTAAAACACCCATGTCTTTTGGCCCCTACTTAATATGATATGTATCGTATATATAAATGTAATAATAATCTATATAATTGTATCTATAAGAGGGCCAGTGGTTTTTAAATCTAAACTGAATTTATGTTTACATTTCATCACAGTAATGCAGGTTTTCTGTCTAAACCCACCTTTAAAACGTTGCTTTAATTTATTTAAACACATTCAGGCAACACAGAAAATATTTAAGTAACACGACTCGCTTGTCGTACTAAGTAGGTGATGTAATGTTTATTTTTTATTTTTTTAGGATGATTATTTTATTTATCATTATTTATTTTTCATTAAGCACGAAGACCTCTTATGATGAATTATATAAATGGAAACCGTGTTCCCTCGCCCGGACGTGGGTCACCGGGGCGCCCCCCTCTGGAGCCAGGCCTGGAGGTGGGGCACGTTGGCGAGCGCCTGGTGGCCGGGCTTTCACCCATGGAGCCCGGCCGGGCACAGCCCGAAGAGGAAACGTGGGTCCCCCTTCCCATGGGCTCACCACTCGTTGGAGGGGCCAAAGGGGTCGGGTGCAGTGTGTGACGGGTGGTAGTCGAGGGCGGGGACCTTGGCGGTCTGATCCTCGGCTACAGAAGCTGGCTCTTGGCACATGTAATGTCACCTCTCTGGTGGGGAAGGAGCTTGAGTTGGTGTGTGAGGTTGAGAGGTTCCAAGTAGATATAGTCGGACTCACCTCAACGCATGGCTCTGGCTCTGGAACCAGTTTCCTTGAGAGTAGTTGGACTTTCTACCACTCTGGAGTTGCTCTTACTGAGAGGCGCCAAGCAGGGGTGGGCTTACTAGTTGCCCCCCATCTTGGTGCCTGTACGTTGGGGTTTACCTCAGTGAATGAGAGGGTAGCCTCCCTCCGCCTACGTGTGGGGGGACCGGTTCTGACTGTGGTCTGTGCTTAGTCACCAAACTACAGTTCAGACTACCCACCCTTTTTGGAGACCTTGGAGGGGGTGCTGGAAAGCGCTCCTTCCGGTGACTCCCTCGTTCTGCTGGGGGACTTTAACGCTCACGTGGGCAACGACAGTGAGACCTGGAGAGGTGCGGTTGGGAGGAACGGCCCCCCTGATCTGAATTTGAGTGGTGTTTTGTTATTGGACTTCTGTGCCAGTCATGGACTGTCCAAAATGAACACCATGTTCAGACATAAAGGTGTCCATATGTGCTCTTGGCACCAGGATACCTTAGGCCGCAGCTTGATGATCGACTTTGTTGTTGTTTCATCTGACCTGCGGCCGCATGTCTTGGACACTCGGGTGAAGAGAGGGGTGGAGCTGTCAACTGACCACTACCTGGTGGTGAGTTGGCTCAGATGGTGGGGAGGATGCCGGTCAGACCAGGCAGGCCCAAACGTATTGCGAGGGTCTGCTGGGAACGCCTGGCAGAGTCTCATGTCAGAGGGAGGTTCAATTCCCACCTCCGACAGAACTTCCGAAATGTTCCGGGGGAGGCGGGGGACATTGAGTCTGAATGGACCCTGTTCCATGCCTCTATTGTTGAGGCGGCCGACCGGAGCTGTGGTCGCAGGATCGTCGGTGCCTGTTGTGGTGGCAACCCCCAAACCCGCTGGAGGACACCGGCGGTTAGGGATGCTGTCAAGCTGAAGAAAGAGTCCTATCAGGTCTTTTTGGCCTGTGGGACTCCAGGGGCACCTGACGGGTACCGGCAGTCCAAGTGGAACGTGGCTCGGGTGGTCACCAAGGAAAAAACCCGGGTGTGGGAGGGGTTCGGTGATACCATGGAGCAAGACTTCCATATGGCTTTGAGGAGTTTCTGGTCAACCATTCGGCGCTTCAGGGGGGGAAAGCAGTGCGGTACCAACACTATCTATAGTGGGGACGGTGTGCTGCTGACCTCTACTCAGGACGTTGTGGATCGGTGGGCAGAATACTTTGAAGACCTCCTCAGTCCCACCGACACGTCTTCCAGTGAGGAAGCAGAGTCTGGGGACTTTGGGTTGGCCTCTCAAATCTCTGGTGCTGAGGTCACTGAGGTGGTTATAAAGCTCCTCTGTGGCAAGGCTCCAGGGGTGGATGAGACCTGTCTGGAGTTCCTTGAGGCTCTGTTGTGGGGCTGTGTTGGCTGACGCGGCTCTGCAATATCACGTGGACATCGGGGGCAGTCCCACTGGACTGGCAGACCGGGGTGGTGGTCCCCTTATTTAAAAAGGGGGACCGCAGGGTCTGTTCAAACTACAGGGGGATCACACTCCTGAGCCTTCCTGGTAAGGTCTATTCAGGGGTTCTGGAGAGGAGGGTCCGTCGGATTGTTGAACCTCAGATTCAGGAGGAGCAATGTGGTTTTTGTCCTGGCCGGGGAACACTGGACCAGCTCTATACCCTTGGAGGGATCCTGGAGGGTGCGTGAGAATTTGCCCAACCAGTCTACATGTGTTTTGTGGATTTGGAGAAGGCGTTTGACCGTGTCCCTCGGGGGGTCCTGTGGGGGGTACTCCGGGAGTATGGGGTACCGGGCCCTCTGATACAGGCTGTTAGGTCCCTGTATGACCGGTGTCAGAGCTTGGCCCACATTACCGGCAGTAAGTCGGGCTCGTTCCCAGTGAGAGTTGGACTCTGCCAAGGTTGCCCTTTGTCACCAATTCTGTTCATAACCTTTATGGACAGGATTTCTAGGTGCAGCCAAGGTGTGGCGGGCATCCGTTTTGGTGGCCTGAGGATCAGGTCTCTGCTTTTTGCAGATGATGTGGTCCTGCTGGCTTCATCAGAACGGGATATTCAGCTTTCGCTGGAGCAGTTCGCAGCTGAGTGTGAAGCAGCTGGGATGAGAATCAGCTCCTCTAAATCTGAGACCATGGTCTTGATTCGGAAAAGGGTAGAATGCCTTCTCCGGGTCAGGGATGAGGTCCTGCCCTAAGTGGAGGAGTTTAAGTATCTCAGGGTCTTGTTCACGAGTGAGGGAAAACTGGTGTGAGATTGATAGGCTGATTGGTGCTGCATCTGCAGTGATGCGGGCGTTGTACCGGTGTGTCGTGGTGAAGAGAGAGCTGAGTCAGAAGGCAAAGCTCTCTATTTACCGATCGATCTACGTTCCTACCCTCACCTATGGTCTTTAGCTTTGGGTACTGACCCAAAGAACGAGATTGCGGATACAAGCGGCCGAAAATAGTTTTCTCCGAAGAGTGGCTGGGCTCTCCCTTAGAGATAGGGTGAGAAGCTCGGTCATTCAGGAGGGGCTCGGAGTAGACCCGCTGCTCCTCCACATCGAGAGGAGCCAGTTGAGGTGGCTCGGGCATCTGGTCAGGATGCCTCCTGGTTGCCTCCCTGGTGCGGTTTTCTGGGCACGTCCAACTGGGAGGAGACCTAAAGGTAGACTGTTATAAGCCAATTTACCGGGCTAGCTCCACTCTTCTAGATTTTAATAATATCTCAGGGTTTGGCTTGTAATCGGTGTAGTGAGCGTGACATGCCAGTTTACCAACAAACACTCTTACTCTGTAGAGTTGATTAGCAATCACCACATTACCCAGAGCTTCTAATTCTGAGCAAAATTAGTTCAAGCAGACAACGAGGAGGCGCAAACACACATACACACCCTTCCAGTCCATGAAGCTTATGTACACTTCAGGTTAAGACCCTTGCCAGCTGTTCCGTTTATGCTGAGGAGACAACTGACTTTACCTGTAGCCTAGGATGGAGGAAACACTTATATCAATGACACCTAGGGATGGCATTTACAACCAGCATCTCACCTTTGCTCGGTTACCGACAGGAGGGGACCCCACTCATAAATCCTGTTTTTGTTCCACGAATCCGAGGAACTAGGTTTTATTTCACATACATGAAAAAAAGAATAATAATCCTAACGAAACCCCGACAAAGCAGGTTAAAAAGTGAAACAACTCTTTGCCAATAAACCGAGTTATAGCAAAGTTGAGCTGAGTAAGCTCTCCAAAAATGACACTAGGTCAGATTATCACAGACAAATCTCTCTACCTCACAAACTCTTCCCATCAAAGACCCTCTCTCCTG